AGTCTCTGCATCCGCAGCAACAGGAACAGTGACAGGAGGTGGGGGCCGGTGGTTTGTAGGGATGTCAGTGGGCTCAGTCGGGTGGGAGATGGCAGGGAAGATGGCCCAGGAGCACTGGGCACCATGTGCTTTCTAAATAAAGGCTTTTTTCCATGCTGTGTCTTACCCCTTGGCTCTGGCTATGAACAGAGGGATGGGACAGGCAGGGAGATGGACAGGCAGGGGGGACACTTGCCAGGCTTGGAGGTGACTGGCAGTCAAGGAGGGTCCTCCAGCCTGGGGAGCCTCCGGGTGCTGCACCTGCACTGGGCTCAGCCCAACGCCCTGAGGAAGGCGAGAGCCCCCGCGGGCTGGGCAGAGCCCCGCGAGCGTGAGTTTCCCCCAGGCAGGTGCCAGGGACCATCTCCCAGCAGCTTGGCCCCACACGTGGTGAAGGCTTCTGGTAACCTCATGCCAGCAGCCAAGCCCTCGCCCCCGTGAAGGGTTACACCCCGCAGCCAGCCAGGCTCGCTCACGGCTCCGCAGCAGCTGCTTTCATCAGCCTGGGCGCAGCCCTGCAGTGTTTTTAGTGCCCATTCCCCATCCACCCTCTTGCACTAGCCCTGACTTCAGCCACCGCTGGCAAAGGCAGCGGGAGGCCTGAGCTCGCCCTGTTTCGTCCCAGGCTCCTCTATGGCTTTCCTTAATTTCACGCAATGGATGGTGAGACAAGGCTGGGGGGGATAGCCCTGGTTCCTCCAGATGTAGCCCCTGGGGTGCTTGCTCCCTGCTCTGGGGTATCTCTTGTGCTGTTTCTAGCTTTTTAGATTTGGGTTCAGGCTCTTCTCGTGCTTTCAGCCCCTGTCTGGTTGTGGCATTTTTTTTTCTTCTTTCCCAGTTGCCTGCCCACCCTGCTTGGCACTGTTATGCAGACTGCTTAGAAATCATCCAAAGCAGCAAGGGGCCCTGGCTCTGGCTACAAAGCACCCCAAAATATGGACCACTGGCTTGCAGTGTCTGATCTCCCCCTCTACCACTGAGCGTACCCCACCCTTAGTCCAAACTCCAGCCCTCACTTGTGGGACTGGGGGCCACTTATCCAGTATAACCAATTAAAACAAGTTTAAGGCTAGGATAAATTGGGGACCAGCTGCCATGGCTTTATTGGCAGGCAAGGAGATGGTAGTCACTGGAATATCTGGGATTTCACAGAGCACCTCCTGCTTTCCTGGGTCCCACCAGGCTCAGTTTGGGCTCAGCCTGTCAATGAAAGCTGCCAGGACACGCCTGATTGCCAGTCAAGCTCTGTGGCTTGCCACATGCCAGGAGGAAGGACCGTAGTAGGCTGGCAACCACGGCACGAGAGCTTGGTTGGGTTCCCGTCCCAGCCCCCCAGGGCTAACCTAACCAGGGGAATAAGGGGACCGAGCAGGAGCACTTGGGAGGCCAGCTCTCCGTGTGGGACCATTTGTGCTGTGTCTGGAGGAGGCTGCGACGCACAGGCAGCCCTGTCCTACCCAGTGTCCTGGCGTCCCCCAGACAGTTGCCCAAGCTACCCCGAGGGCTGCACTGGACGCTGTGTGAGATGACCAGAGCTGTGGGTGCAGCATGGGGACATGGGCCCAAGTGATGTGTGTGTGTCAAGCCACGAGGGCTCTGAGCACGCACATACAAAGGTGGTGGTGGGTAAGCACAAGGCTTCTCCCTGGGGATCTGGATGCCCACCTGGGAGATGAAGGCCACCTTAACTTGGCTTAGGAGGAAAGGACCCCAAGACGATGGCGTGAGGATATGGTGCATGCTGAAGCCCAGAGCCAGGCACCTGTACGGGCTGAATGCCAGCCAAAGGCAATACTGACAAGCTGTGTCACTGCCCTGCAAGATGGGAGCGGGCGCAGCACTGGGGCTGGCCCTAAGGCACATGCGACGGTGCACGAGGAGCCAAGCCGCCCAAAAACCAGCCAGGCACAACCAATGGGTCTCCCCAGCCACTGCCTGCCTTGCACGGCTCCCCAGGGCCGGGCAGTCCCAGGCAACGGGTCTGTCACCAGCTCCTGGACAAATTTCCCTGGCCCCGCGCAGGTACTGAGTCACCTTACGGCAAGGGCAAATGCGGCCCCGTGAGTGTGAACCCTCAAGGTGAGCAGCTGCCTCTCTCCAGCCCGGGGAGGGTGAGTGTGTCCCACTGGAGCTGACAGTGCTAAAAGTAATGGTCCAAAGAACAAAGTGAGCTGGGCTGCTGTGGCCCTGGCTGTCTTTCTGTCCATAGGAGCCCTGCGGCACCCCCGGACGCCTGCCCAGCTCAGGTAGCAGCGCGCAGGCCCTGGCAGCCCTGTGGTCCTGCTGGTCTGGCCACCACCCCACTTCAGCCAAGGTCCTTTAACCACTGGGAAGCTGCCAAGCAAGGCGAGCCCCTGCCGTGGGGAGGTTCGTCCAACCCAGGAGTTGGTCCTGTCCAATTTGGAGCACGTACTGCCCCAGGCGGGTGGCCGGACTCCCCAGCTGCAGTGGCCCCGGTGAAGAGCGTACGTGCAGCGTTAGCGCACCCCGCACCTCTGGGGAACGTGGCAGCAGTGGGTGTCTGCCTCTTTGCTCCCGGAGTGCGCAGTCAGCGCCTCACCGGACCAGCAGCTCTAGCCCCTTCCACTGGCAGGCCTGGGCTGAGGACAAAGTCCTGCACGGGGCACAAACGGGAACATTGGTGAGAGGCAGGAGCTGGCAGCAGCAGAGGGTGATCCCTGTGTGCCCCTCCTTGCCTGCACCGTGGTTCTCCCTGCCTGCACCAAGCGCTGCCTGCCCCGCAGGGCCACGGTGAGGGGGGTCAACGTGTCCCCGCTCGCCCTGGCGAGGAGGAGGAAGCGTTGCCACCAGGTGTGCAGCTGCATTCATTTCTATACTGGGCCAGGTAGCAGCCCGGGGCCAGCTCAGCCCCTCTCCCAGCTGGCATGCAGCCAAACCCAGGAGGGGCAGGCAGGGAGCCGGCCATGACAGCTCTGTGGCCTCCCCGGCCCCCCCAGGCCTGGCTTTTCAGAAGCCAGGCTTGGCAAGCAGCAGCCCCCAGCCCAGGAGGGACAGGACACCTAGGAGAGAAGAGGTGCCCCCAGGACGGGCAGCCTCCAGGAGACCCTTTGAGCCGCAACCCCAGGTCGACGGGGGATGTAAAACCCCGGGCTGGGGCCAGCCGTTGAGGCGCAGTGCCGGGGTGCCCCAGCTGGGCCCCCCTGCGCGGCAGGCACCGCGCCGGCAGCAGGGCTGTCAACAGAGGCAACTCTATTAACAGTTAACTCTATTAACAGAGGAGTCGCCGCAGGGGATGCTGCTGAAGGGAGGGGGAGCCGCCCCCCCATCCACGGGTGCTGCCAACCGTGGGGCCCTTCCCTGGGGGGCAGAGCCACCGCCGGCCCAGCAGCAGCAGGACCAGGGTGCAGAGCTCTGCCCGCAGACCCCAGGGCAGGTGAGGGCTGGGGCTGTCCCCGGCGCTGTCCCCTCGCCCTCCGGAGGGGGGGACACGATGGCCACCCCTCCCGTGCTGCTCAGGACCCTGCTCGCCCAGCCTGCAGCTCCTTGCCTCTGCCCCTCATGCCCCCAGCCCAGCTGGCAACCCCAAAGACCTTCCAGGAGCCAGGTTTAACCCCTCCCTTCCCAAAGAGCAGCCCAGCTTCTCCAGGTGGAGGGAAGAGGCCCTAATGAGGCACCAAGACCCCATGCCCCCAGGCTGCCCCGCTCAGCAGCCGAGGTGAGCAGCTCCGAGCCTGCGGTTAAGGGGACGTCAGCCCACGAGAACAGACTGGGATGGGACTGGGGACTGGGGTCTGCACTGAGCTTGCAAGGCCTCGGCCCTGGGGCTGTCAGGCTTCATCCCGGCTTGTCTCAGCTTGCCTGGAGCTTTTGTTTGATTTACTGAGTTTGTAAGAGCATCTAATTACCAAGTGGCCGTTAGTTTTAGTTCTGCTTCTCTTTTACAGTGGCATGGTGTGATGTCCGTTGTTAGTAATTCAAGGGTGGGAATGAGTAATAAGAAGCTTCACAGAATAAACCCTGGGGTGAAGGTGCAGGGCAGACCAGTACAGGCCTGGAGGGGTGGGCACAGGGTGATAGCTGAGGCCCTGCCAGCAACTCACCCTTGGGCAGCTCCTTTCAGTGACACAAATCTAAGAGCTGGCAAAAATCGGTGTCAGGTAAGAGAGCAAAGAACCAGCATCCCGCATGCATACAACACATCGCTTACTACAAAGCCAGACGTGATGTGGAGCTGCAGAGCAATGAAGACAGGGGTAGGATGTGCTAGAAAATGCATAAAAGTGGCCCCAGTGCACTTGAGAGTGAGAAGGAAGAAATCCCCACCATGAACATCACACTCTTCCCAGCAAAGGCCTCAGGATGCCAACAACTGGTGGTGACCTGCTCCCCAGCTGAAACTGCCACCCTCGACACCCCGAGGGCACGGGCCAGGAGGGGGCTGTACAACAGCTGCGGCTGCAGTATTTTACTGAGATTTGTTTTGCAGTAACTGGATACATCCTCAAAAGGAGGCAAAGCCTGCAGTAGACCTGCGAGCAGAAGCTGTTCCCTGCTGTGACCCCTACCCACGGCTGCAGGAAGATGGGCCCTGTCTCCCACAGAAACAACCCTCTGTGGCTCAGGACCCGCAACGATCCGTCCTTGTTGT